GGGAAAATATATATATGTGTATATATGTGCGTGTAGTGCAGCTTGGCACATTGGGACCTCTTAAACACACACACACGACGCACACACAAATGAAGTGTTCTATGGCGGATCATTGAAATAATAGTGTGAATATACTTCAGAAATGTTCCCTTCTACATCTTCTCCTACAAACAGATAAGTTGACTTATACAGTGTTAGCGGGAGAGAAAGATAAATCGAAACGAATTATCACATACTCAAATCTCTAATATCAATTTTATTAGGTGAATTGTTTATTGGCGTTTTCAAAATTATTCACTGTTAAGTGGTATTCACATAAAACTATTTTATATACTCTTAAGATGTTGAAGGATAAATTAAAATTCAATAAGTCAAGGATATAATTTTAAAAGTGAATATCATCACATTGATTTTGTTACTTCTAGACAGTAGTGTGGAAATGACTCGCTCCATGAAGAACCGATGTTGCAAGAGTTAAGATAAAAAGCACATTTGAGTCATAGAGTTAAGTTTAATGATCCTGTAGTGTACATTGAACTTTTGTTTTAACTCACTCATCCTTCCCCACAACCTTTTTTTTCGTTTCGCTCTATTTTTTATAAAAAAAATTTTTTCTTTCTCCGCTTCTTTCCTTCCTTTTATTGTGCGAATCTCCTACGGCATATCTCTTATGTTCTTGGATCGAAAGTTGTTGGTTTCCCCACCAACCTTCTAAGGGGGTGATAACCTGTAGTGTACATTGAACTTTTGTTTTAACTCACTCATCCAGTTTTTGGCGCTACTCCACTTCGCCACTTCGCTTCGCGTGCTGCACTACGCTTCTTGTACATTTTAGCACTTGTACGCCTTATCCCTCGCTGTACTCGCCTACAAGCATACTCCTCGAGCACCCTACTCCTACGGGTACAGATAAATGGTAAAGCTGTTTTTATATTATTGAGTTATAATCACATTCGTTATAAATATACGTTTGTTTACAGGAAAGTAGCGAGTCCTTTTATTTTCTGTTTTTACTCGTTCCTCAGTACTTGCAGGATAGGCAGAGTACTGATTAAGACCTAGGCAAAAGAAGTTAGTCTTTTCGTAAGTGTGACAGACAAACTCATCTGAGGATAAAACCAGGCACTTACAATCCAAATTGTGACAATTAAGATGATGATGATGATGGTGGGTAAAAACAGCCATTTCTGAAATCAGCTCACACAACTGGTGACTGAATAATTCGTCTACAAATCTGTAGATTACTTGTTTAATTGGTGGATGGTGACTAGCAGTGGAATCCAGGACAACACGCATTTCGTCCTATTTGGGACTCGTGGTCATCTGGATGTACCTGCATTCCCCAGTCGGTGAGTGATGATGTTCCCACCGGGGCTCGAACCGAGTGCTCATAGTTTCAAACGCCAAAGCGTTATCCACTAGACCAATTGGGCCACGAGAGCCACCTGTTGTGCAACGGGTCTCAGGTTGACATGTCGACATGTTGAATTAAATAATGTAGATTACTTGATTGAATCAGAAGTTATATCTCTGTAGGCGGTTAAAAATCAGTTTTGGAATGAGTCACGAGTGTCTGCTACAGTCTAGACTGTTCTACTCAAATAAAATGCTCAAAAATTTTCCTGTGTTTGTCTACATTAAATCACTTCATGATGACTATCATCATCAGGTATACTGCCTTAAAAACGTGATCTTCAGAAAACACTGAGTAAAATTAATTCATTTGACTTACGACAAGACAAGCTTTCACTACTCTCAAGTCTGTGTGGAGGTCAACAGCACTCAGCATCAAAAATAAGATCTGGCTTTTCAACCCCAATGTGAAGTCATTCAGTGCTACTATACGGATCAGAGACTTGCACTGCGCGTCATAAAGAGCATCTCAAACAAACTACAGACCTTCATTAACAGTTGTCTTCGCTCAATACTCAAGATCAGATGGCCGGCCAGAAAAGATCAGCAACAGGAAGGGATCTCTGGGAGCAAACCAACCAGGAACCGATCGTGAAACAAATAAGCAGGAAGAAATGGAGATGGATTGACCATACTCTGAGGAAACCATCAAGTGACACCACTAGACAAGCCATTGCTCGAGTGGAACCCGAAAGGGAAGCGGCGAGTTGGTCGTCAGTGCAAGGGTGGGGTGACTTGGAGGAGGTGATGTGAAGAAGAGATGAAAACGTGTGGGCAGACTTGGAGCCAGGTGAAGACTCTAGCAGAGAACCGAACGCAATGGAGACGCGCGGCTGAAGCCCTATGTTCCTCTAGGAATTAAAGGAAACAATAATAATAATGTTAATTGTAATGTGCTTTTATTTTTTCCCCATCCCCTACATTTCTAGTGGAGCATAGTGCTAATCATAGTTTATGATCTGAGTAGCACTGGTGTTGTTTTTGGTGGAGTGGGACCGCTAGTCTCACATCTCAAACCTTCCCTCTTTTTCGAACTTACAATCGGACAGACAAAGTTTACGAGTACATCAATGGGAAACCGACCCCGAACTTCTCATGTGCTTGGCTAGCGTTCCAGCAATGAACCACCTGTGCACAACTGTAACGTTACTTAGTAGGAGAATCATATTACATCAGTATTTTTAAAATATTATCTGATGCTTGTTTCCATAGCAGAAAAAAGTGATATACAGTTTTCTCTTTTGTTTTTTTTCTGTAAAGTGTTCCATTTCATGAACATAGATAGCAACATCAGTTGTATTTAAGTAGTTTATAGATGAGAGAATAAAAAACGCCCCGCCTAACTGATCTTTCTTTTGCGTTGACTTATAGTACAAAGATTGTCCATTAATTCATTTTATACTGTCATGTGACGACTGTTTTAAATAAACCCCAAGATCTTCTATACTATCTTCTTTTTACGCCATTTTCTCCTCTAGTTTAATGACTTCTTAAAAAGATGAAGCCTTTATCCTGAAAGAAGTCTTTCAGTTATTTACAGTAATAATTCTAAAGACCACTTTTTTTTAAAAAGTCATTGTTAATTAACAGTTTGATTTTAAATTAACGCACAGTGTTGACACGAAGTCAATAGTAGATTCAATAAAAAACCGTTGAAAACCAGGAACTACTGGACAGCTATTTCAGTCCAGTTTGTCACTCATCAAAAGTACTTATCCATGATCCCAACGTTATGGATCAAACCCGGAACCTTCATTTCTTGAATTCGTGAATTCATTGACCATTCCAATCACCGGAACAGAACCTAATACTCCATGCAAAGTGTCGATATACAGCTCCACGGCCAGCCAACTGACTGACTGGTTTCAATGTAGAACTTTGCACAGATGTGCAGCAGTTCGAGCTGCCACACTCCCGCCATGTAGCATACAAACCAAGAGAAGAGAGTAAGGAGAGATTCAAAAGAGAGATAGTAAACAGAAGTGTGAAGAAAAAAGAAAAGTAATATGGAGGAAAAACAGAATTTCATTGGATATATTATAAATCACAAAGAGTGAATGCATCTGTGCCATCATCCAGAACGATTTTGAGCCATATCACCGATTGTCTCCAGCCGTTGGTTCTTACCATCCCGAGGATCCCAACCAGCCACGCAGTTTACGCCTCACTATGCGGCTGTTGTGGATTATCATTGACTGATGAGGCCATGTTTTGGTTTGATCACCACTAGCTCTTTTCCAACCTGATCCTATGTCAGTCAGCTAACATTGCCCATTGTCGAGGAAGGCGATGGCTAGGCGTGCATGCGTAACACATATCCTAACCATCACCGCCAGCCAATGTCATATGCGAGTATTTATCGACCACACACTGGTAGCGACTTGTTACTAGGACTCCAAGCACTGCATCTTGTAGTCAGTCACTAATTAGTTGAACTGATGTCATTTTGGGATCTAAGGTGGATTTAATCAAATCCCGAGAAATCAAACCTGAAAATCACTGGTGCTAATTTAAAATAATTATGGTTAACGTATAGAACTTGAGTTTCTATTACAAAGATGTTGTTAGACAGTTAATCTATGTAGATTATGTTTGCTGTCAAACATCTAGGAGTATCTAAAGCTCAAATCCAGTGGCCATAGATAATCAGTTAAGCCAGTCTCAACAGTCGTAAGACACAGTGAAATAATAGCTGTCATGATGTGGATCATCCACGAAGTAATTTTAAGGAGTCAGAATACGTAATATAAAAGTTTAATGAATGACCTGAAGTGTCCATCATTGAGTTCTGAGTCCTGGCCTACTTTAGCCTGAACAACAAACAGTCTCAACAAGGCGATCTATAGCGAATAAAGAACAAACATATATATACCAGATAAGGAAACTGTATTATTAGATGGTTGGAGGCGATCGGCAGGAAGCCTTGCTCGACCTAGGTTTCGTGCTAGTCGGAACTCACCAGTCAGCAAGGCGTATCTGCAACATTGAAGGAACTCATGTCCCTTTAGAGATTCAAACCGGCGTCACCCAGTGAGTTCTGCAGTCAGAGACGTCACCACTGAGCTATTCGGGCTCGCGACTGACCTCCTGTAGGAGTGTATTGGATATTTTTGATTGGACACTAGTCAGTAACTAGTGTAATGTGTGTGTCTAGTCCTATCTTTGGTACGGACTGAATTCTATCAGGGTGACGCGGGTTCGAATCTCAGAAGGGACATAAATTCCTTTAATGTTGCGGATACTTCTTGCTAACTGGTGAGTGCCAACTAGCACGAAACCTAGGTCAAGCTGGGCTTCCTGCCGATTGCCTCCAACCATCTAATATCAACAATTCACAGTGCACTGTGATGGCGAGCTACCTAATGGCATGGTGGCCACATTGCAAACTTGACTGATAGAATTCAGTCTGCAGTAAACAAAGGACTAGACACATCACACTAGTAACACTAGTGTCCAATCAAACTGTATTATACTAATTTCTTCAGTCGCTTAAATTATTTCTTTTCAGTAGTCACTCCGCTTGTCACAATTTTTGTTTACTTTAATGTATATATGTATAATTAAATGTTGTTATCTCCTTTTTTCAGGTGAAAAACCATTTGTCTGTGAATTTGAAGGATGTGATCGTCGTTTCGCCAATAGTTCAGATCGTAAAAAGCATATGCATGTCCACATGAATGATAAACCATATTTCTGTCGATTTAAAGGTTGTGATAAAAGTTATACACATCCTAGTTCACTGCGTAAACATTTACGTGTACATTATTTATCACCGAATGAAGCATTGAATCCAGCCGATTTTGATACACATTCAAATTCAAGTGATACAATGATTACTAACACTAATAATCATATTAACAATAATAATAATAATAGCGTGAATCAATTGAACACGAATGAAACACGGACTTGTCATTCACTAACAAATAATATCAAGTTGACAACAAATTCTACAGATTTTATAAAACGTGATTTAAATCATTCTACTAGAAATACTGATAATTATTATCCTATAATGAATAGACAAAGTGAAGATCATAAACATACTACTAATAATAATACTTCAGTTAGTATAAACAATACTATAAGTAGTATAAATATTATAAATAAAATAAAGAAGAAGAGTAGAGAAAGCCCACTAGAAGCATCAGATCATTCATCATTTCGTAAATCATCCTGTAGAAAACGTCATTATTCTTCAAGAAATGAATATAATGCTGATAATTTCCCAAATTTTAATACTACTACTGATATACATAATAGTAGTAGTAGTGTTAATGTAAGATCATCTACTTCACAAGATTTTATATCACAATTAGCTGCTGTTGTATGTGGTCCAGCTGATCGAGAATTTAAACTTCAGCGTAATAATCAGATGTTTAATGATTTCCAGCAAACAATACAGCAGCAACAGCAGCAACAACAACAACAATCTGAACACCCTTCATCACAGTTCAGAAATGAACAAAATATATGGGAACATTTAGTAAATGAAATGCCTGATCTCCATAGTAACAATAATAATAATAATAATGGTGATAATTATAAGAAATCATTGTCTACCTCAGCTTATTTAACATCTAGTTATGCAAATGAACCATACTCACCAATTTCTCGTGCATATTCCTCACTCAATTTCGGAGCTGCATTGCCAACTATCCAACAGATGACACCGCCTTCACCGATCACAATATCAGACAACAATGCACAACAAAGTTTAGATAATTTAAAAGTGAAAGCAGATTCGTTACAATTAAATCGACCATTTGAACTACACAATGTAATCAATAATAATAATAACAGCTCATATCTTAATGAACAGTCTCAACAGGAGCACCAACCAACGCATAGTCTACATCAATCAGCTCAACGTCAAATGAACGAGTATACACAAAACTTGTTTCAAGCAAATGATTTCCTCATAGAATCTCAAAAAACTTTTGATATGACAAGAAATGCCTATCATAACAATAATAATAATAACAATCAGCATAGAGAACAAGTGAATTCCCTTTCACCGACTACACAACTTTATCATTCCGATAGTCACCCCGCTGCTTCACATCCAAATTTTCAACATCAAGTGATCAACTCCTCTCCAAAGTTGTATGATAATTTATATCCGTTAGACACAAGTTTTTTGTATACATGCAACAATAATTCCCAGTTGTTACAACATCAACAACAGAGACAACAACAACCTCAAGAAGAACACCAACAACCTCAACAATTGATCCAAGGACTGTTGTTAAGTCACCACCAGCAACAGCAGCAACAACAACACTCAGGATATTCAGAGACTAGTCATCAATCGAATTCCACTGATTCTGATTTAGAAAGTGCTAGTATATTGTTCAGGAATAATAGCTCATTTGTTAATATGACCACCAGTTGTGTAACACAATTGTCCACAAATGTAAATACACTTCCTACACTGACTACTACATGTACAACAATGAGTACAATAACAACACCAATGACGACGACAACAACAGATTGTCAATTATACTCACCGTGTAAAAATTCACTAACAGACAGTCACAATCATGTTAAATTCAAACAAGAACAAATAGAAATCAAAAAGTAGTAGTAGTGGTAAGATGACAAGTCAATCAATACCTGAGTCAACAACAACAACACCAACAATGCCATTCCCTGTAATAACAAATTGGCTTTCTTTAAACACAAAAGAGGAATCAGCATTCATCGATTGTGATAACAAATGGTCTATATTGAATAACAATCCTACAGAAAATACAAATATCCCTAATAATTCTTTAAATGATAATGACAAGGAAATTACAGGTAATGAACATATATGTTCACCTGTAGAAAATCACTTGACTTCTTCTGATAATTTTGATAATATTCCTTCATCGAATAATACTGTTACTACAATAACTACTACAACTAATGATAAAATTAAGAGTGATATAAGTGTATTAACAAAAACTAAAGTTAAAGAATCAATCATGACACCGTTTGTATCAAACTACTCCTTTTCATATGTACCTAAATCAGACAGTGAAGATTTACACGATCGATTAAATGACGAGGAACAACAAAATGTGGAAATCCATGAGTGTGGAAGGCGGTTCACAGAAACGTATTATTCTCAGATGAATGATTGTTATACAACTTCTCCCTCGAATCCACTTATCCATTCAAATACAAATAATAATAGTAATAGTAATAATAATAATAATAACAGGAAGAATAATAACTGTGACATACTACAAGTTACTTGATTAATTAATAAAGTTCATCTTCAGAATTTCATGATATACATATATACTACTTATATACTGATTTTCTACTATTATAAAGGAAATCAAGTTTTTTTTGTTATTGACTTATTCCCCTGAACTGTCGTTTCCGGTGTACAAATTACATTACATTATATATATATATATATAGTATCGATTGCTTCATTACCCAACCGCTATTTTGTTATTCTGATATGAGTATCTATCATTAAAAAAAAAAGAAGATTCTAACTTATAATGCTGATAATGATAATTAGTAATCGGGGTTAAAAGTTAAGATATTCAATAGTAATAGTAATACTGATAAGTCTTTTGGTTATTTTCACATCCCGGCGTAACATACACACATACACACACCACAAACACGCATAAACACACCATAAAATACACTCCATCCATTGACTTTCATTTGTGTTTCTCGTTTATATTTTCCCCTCCTCCTCCTCGTTCGTCGTCTTCCTGTTCTCCCCGCTCTCGTCTTCTACTGTTTTTTCAATCACTTTTAGGAATCAATTTCTTCCTCATTTGTCTATTTACCTCAGCTACTGGTTAACAGGTTACCAAAATAAGAGACAGAATTTAAAGGAATCTGATCTATCCTTTTCAATCTAGGAAGAAGACAGTTTATATATATACATTGTGTTGCTAGTATTCTCATACGTTTCCCTTATCTTCTTCAGTTTATCCAATGACATTAAAAAAACACAACACATATACACTATGAAATGATGATTTGTATGTTTAAATATAAATGAGTGAATGACAGTTTACCTGTTCCCCTTATTTGTTTCTCCTTTTGTTTTACCTTTGAATACCTTTCGACAGAAAGAACAGTGAAAGCATCGTGTCCCCTAGATATTTTTACTTGTATTCGCTTGCAGTAATAACGGTAATACTTACTAAGGCATCCAAGTTTAATGATAAACGGTTACGGACCCATCCACTCCCCACCCACCCACACACATCTACACACACGCACACAGACAAACACACACTCATAACTGGAAGAAATATGCTGAAAATTGAAACCATCATTTCTCCTGTTTGTTTGTTTGTTTCTTTTTGTTTATTTTATTTCTCTTTCGGTTTTTCAGAAGTTTCATATTCTCAATTATTGCACAGATTACAAGTTTTATTTATTATTCATGATAATAATGTATGATATATATATATATTTATTAGGAGGAGAAGTGGAAAACAATTGATCAAAATAATAATGATAATAACAATAATGATAATAATTCGGTTTTTTCTTTTCAATGAAGGGCATTTAATTCGGTGTCCAAATGGTTGTGAAAGTATTCTGTCAAATCTTGATTAGAGTAAGCTTAGGAAGACATTTACGCAGTCCAGAGGTCTTTTTACTAGAAGACATGAACAATAGGTATTAGTGTCTGGTGGCATAATTAGTTTTTGCGTGTAAGTGGGGACATCATAACTCATTTAGGAGGCAGGTACATCCAACTGACGAGTCCTGGACGGCGTCTGTCAACCCTAGTAATGTGCGTCTGTGGTCCAGTGGTAGAACGCTTACCAACTATGCAAAAGGACCGAGGTTCGATTCCCGGGAGGCAACGCAGTCTTAAACCTAAACTAGACAGTCGGTAGTAACTCCGGTAAAAAGGAGGATTGTACATAAGGCTAGCAACCCCCCCCCATAGTAGAAACGCCAACGATACTGGAACTTTAGAGCTTGAAGCTGTGTGTACCATTCGGAACACAAAGAAATTAAAAAAAGGTCCTGGTAGTATTGAGGCATCCATTTAAGGAGCCTACAGACTAGAATAAAGTTGATCAGATCTATCCAGATCTTCCAAATGGAAATCGCAAATATGCATAAATGTGAAATAATAGTTAGGGATTGAATTTTCTATAACAAACTTATTAAAATCTTAGTGTCATCAGATAGTTTGAAAGTTGAAAAGTAAGGGGTAAGTTATGCTTACAGACAGAAAAAGTGTCAGTCTTCGAAATACTTGAGAAAAGGACTTATTGACAATTGCAGAAAAACACAACACAATTATTGCATAACAGTTGTCAAGCCTTATGTTTAGTCTAATAAGAACACTAAGGCCTTGCTTACTGAATCAAAATGTTGGAAGTGAGTAGTACATCTCTTTATTACCAGTGACGACAGCAATATGATTTTTATAATACGGATGAGTTTAGGTTTTATTCCATAAAGATGTTAGATCTCAGCTGTTATCAGAAAACAGTTTATCATCTATTTGTGTATATGACATTATGCATAAGATCAGCGTTTTGATTTTGCAATGGGAATTGTAAAGCAGCTATGGAAATGACAGTAACTTTCATCACATTTTAAAAATCATATTGGCCATCATTATTTGGGAGAAGCTTGGTCTCTATCTATAAAAATCCTTTAGTGCACTTCAGATAAATATTGCATAATGGAGTGTGTATTTTAAAAGATTAACTAATTTCCACCATGTTTAACATGAAAATAAGTTCTTCTGAGTTCAGCACTTCATCTCCTATCCAACAGTGTTTTTATTTCTCCTGGTTTCTTTCGTCTTTGTGACAATCGCATTCCAGTGTTCTTGTTTGAAATATAAACTGTCAACTGTTTTTTAAACGCGAAAACCGCAAACCTCAAAATCAGATGCCTGAGGTTAGTCACTGGAAACTTGTTATACTTTCAAGTGTTGATTTCGGGCCACTTCACGAACTTACTTTAGTTAGGGAACCATTGAAGGCCACGGAACGCTAAACAACTGTTTCTTCCTAGTTTGGGACTCTTCTCTATTACGCGCCCATGGCCCCACCGGAGTCGAACCCAGAACATTCAGGTTCAAAAGCGAGTCTGCTGACTGTTTAGTTACTGGGATGGAATTCGGTGGCCCAGGAATTCTAATTTCTGCCAATTTGCAATGTATAACACCGTAACTAGCCAGTTTTATTGCTGAGTATTTGTGCTCACAGCTGATTTATAGTGAACTTTAGTGGTTACAACTTCTTATCAGAACTCCATTCTATATTCAGTCACTAGTGAGCATTCTATTTTTTATGTTCTTCACTCAACACAAACAAGATGTATTTGAGTCTTAAATCTGATTCTTAGTGGAACTTAAGGAAGTGCTTTAGTACACCATTAAATTTAAAGATAAAACTCATTTGGGCAAAGTTAAACTTTAAGCACCAGTAAGTACCTACGGACAAATGACCTTGAACGCACCAACCACGTGAGAAAGGAGACTTGTGCGTATGAAGTACATATATTCATGAAAATAATGAATTAAAAGACATGAAATTGTTACACAGAATGCCCTTCTCTGACCTGTGACAAAAATACCTCTCACTTTTGGATTGGAGTCTTAACAGAATAGTTTCATCACATTCTATGCAAGTAATTATCTAGTCTTCTAACCCTAACAAGAACCCTAATCTTTACTTAACCTAACCCTAACGTGAAAATATCCCGAAACTAACCCTACTCTAACTCGAACCAACCTTAATGTTGCCCTGGTTAGGTTAACATAATCCTAACCTGTCTTCAGCCTAAACCTTACCTTAATCTTTCCCAAACCTAACCTGAAACTTTCCAGATCTCCCATTCATTAACTCAAAACCTCATTAAGCATATTTTATTCATGATTACGGTATTATTTACCAGGTTGGACAAACTTGCCTACTGGGAGTTTCAAGGTCATTGGTGTGGTCGCACTCAGTTGGTATTTACTGTTGCTCATAGTTTAACTGGGCCCTCATTTTCAGAAGAAAGTTCATATTGGTAAAGACTACTGGCATACTTGTGAGTCTATATTCGGTTAGGTTTGAAAGTGATTGTTAATTATGTGTTCTTTCTACACATGTGGCTAAGTACATAAGGTAAAATCAGTAGACATAACGATCATTTGTATTCTTTGCCAACCTATATTTATCGTTGCAGTGAATTAAACTCACAGTTGCAGGTCCAGGCATGACTAAAGGTGTATCACAGTCACCCAGATATTACTGATCTATGTACTAGTAAAGTTCTGTATCACTACTTCTCATCCTATACGTTAATAATAAAATATGCTTAACATCACGTACGAAAAGTAGAAAGCCTTTTTAATTTCGATTCCTTACAAAGCCTTCAAATGAATAAATCACATTTTATTGTCCCATAATTAAACACTTAGGTATTTACAATAGACTGATTGTTGTGCTGATATATTACACTATACCAGCCTTACTAAATTCACTATGTCTAATTATCCACCTGCGTTGAAGTTTTTGTAGCAGTTTGGTTAAGTTTTGGGGGTGGAGTTGCTAGCACCACGCCCCAACCCTCCCTCTTTATCCGGGCTTGGGACCGGCTAGAAAACTAGTGAGCTAGTAATCTAGGCTGGACACTCGCTGAGGAGGCCGCTGGGTGACATCGCACGTCAGGCCAGTGCTCGAGTGGAACCCGAAAGGGAAGCGGCGAGTGGGACGTCCAAGGGTGACATGGAGGAGATCGTGTGAGGAGGAGTTGAAACAGTATGGACTAACATGGATGCAAGCGAAAAGTACAGCAGAAGACAGAAGCAAGTGGAGGCGTGCAGTTGAAGCCCTATGTTCCACTAGGAACCCAAGGGAACAATAATAATAATATAATAATTATCCACCTAATCAGTACACTACCTAACCTGAAAGTACTGATAACGAGATGAAAATAATAAAAAGAGATTCAGTTGTTTGGAAATATCGTCTTATGAGTAAAATATTTGATTGTTTGGAGGATTTTCATTATGAGCTGACATCAATTAGAGAACTATTGGAAAACCAGCTGGAAGTACTGGACAGCTGTTTCGTCCTAGTTTTGGGACTCTTCGTCAGTACTCACCTACCGGGCTTCGAACACAGAACCTTCTGGTTATAAGGCGAGTGAGCTCGTAGACAATTTAGCCACTGGGACCCGATGAATAATGAAATCCTTCAACCAATCAAACAAAAAAATCCCCTAAAAACCTTTTTTTTTCATAACTGTGGACATA